AAAACAAACCCAAAAATTTTCACTACAAATCACTCTTAAAGGAATTAATTAGACTCCCAAAATATCTCTTAATGAAAGTAAATAGAGGATTACAAATAAAGATTAGTCAAAGATCAATTTCATAAGTCAAAGTACAAGAATTTTAAGTTGGTAAGTGAATGATATTCAATAAAAATGTTTAAGAAGCTTTTCAATACTTCTACCAACTCTATTTATCTTCCTTTGGTCAAAATTAGTCGTTTGGAACTATTGGAGTGTATTAAATGCTTAATAGATATGTTTGATGCAAAGAAAAAAAAAAAATCTGTTACTATACAATCGATAATTGAACTTGAGATATAAGAGTCAAATATTGATTTCTAAGAGCCAATTTTTTAAAATGGAGAGTTGAATATGCCCTATGCCTCAAATCTTATTGAACCCTTTAGAATTAGGAATTAACCCTTCATCTCTAAAAGTCAAATCTAGATATTCCAAGAGTTTAATATAATTTCTAAGATTCAACTCTTTCTTAGGTTGAACCATTTCTTCTAATTTTGCTTTAGAGTTGAATTTATAAGAAAGAATTGAATGTCCTTACTTCAAGAGTTGAATATAAAGTTTTACATTCAACTTTTCAATGCAATTGTGTAGTTTTCTAGATTTTTCCTTAAAACAATTTGAGAGTTTTTAACCGCATAGTTAAGCTTAACTTCATTAAATATCTTAAGGAGTTTTATTATCATCAAAATTACTTGGGGTTTAATAACCTAAAATATGAAAATATTTTATGGCAAAAGACACTAGAATGAATTATGGCTAAAATTGAAGGCCTCAAGCTAAACCAATTTGGTAAACATTGATTTTAACATTAATCCAATGAAAGAATGGTTAACAAGTTTAGAAAAGTAGGATTCCAACAATTGATGATGAAAGGAGAGAAATATGATTCCAATGCATTATATGAAAAATCCAAAGTGAATTAATAAAGGCATGTCTAAGACCTTGGACCAATTAGTGTTGTTATGTAATTTAATCCAAGGTTTAAGTACCATTCCTTTTGAAGATGGCTAACTTGATAAGAAAAGGATGCTACCATTGGATTATTATTGAACAGATTGAGATATTGAAGCTCTGTTAATGCCTTATCTCTATTGGCGTAATATATCCAAACTATTGTTACTTAAGTCCAAGTGAATAAGCTTGGATAAGCTATTAGTGGCTAGTGATAATGATTTAGCAAGACTATAATTGTGGAGGTCAAAGGGAGTCAAATTGAAAAATGGGGTGAAGTTAAACTAGGGTAATGTTCCAAGGATATCTACACTAATGAAGTTGATTTCAGACATAATTTTGCTAAAGTTATCATAGGTTATAGAAGTCCAATTTTAGATATTACTAATAGTGTTTTGTTAACCAAGAATTTAAAAAAGGTGGTGAAAAAGAAAAACTATTCTTCCATTGTATAAGAGCCTCTGCTTATGGTCTCGATGAAGCAAAATATTAAATGGGAAGAAAGGAAACCAAGGGAACCTAGAATAGAAAAAGAAAATATTTTAGATAGCTTTTCATATTGAAAATATTAAAATATATATATATATAACTATGTTATATACAAATCTACGTTATCTCAAAATCCTATATATATATTTAGGAGGGGAGAGCAAGTCTTCTTTTTCAATGCCTTAAGCTACAACTTCAAATCCTGTTGTTACAAGGCCATTTCCATTAACTAACTTATGAAAGTGATGTGAAATTTCCTAATCCTTCTTTTTTGATGAGAAATAAATTTCAGTTAAATATCGATGGAGGTACAACAAGGGATATACCTAGCATACAAAGGTGCCTCCAAATCCTACTAAACCCATCCTAGACTACTTATTGTAAAAGGTTTTAATAGTCTATATTAATAACATGAATAAGCTCAAAAACAATTCAAGTTATTATTGACAAATTTCTTTTATCCTAATATGAACTAAAAGGGGTAACCTTTCCACAAAGGATAATAAAGGAAATGCAATACTTTATAACAATAACACTTCTTATAATCCCTCTATCAATATCCCTAATTGACATCCAATTAAAAAGGAGCAATATCCTATTAGTCTTCAAACTTTCCAAACTTATCTTAATCTCTTGATTTTAGGAGATGAAATCAGTCAAAAAATAAGATCGCAATCTTGTTCCACAAGTCAAAGCTTCTAATGGTTTGGAGACAAAGTTTCACTCCCACCACCATCATCTTTGCCACCTCGTCACCATCCCCACCACTGCCACCCATTTAGTCTTCTTTCCTCTTAGACAGCCATGGTGAAATCACCCACTCCATGACCTTTTGTAGACTCATCCCTCCTCACCAAACCATAACCCACAGTTCCACTTCCTATCACCCAAGGGCCTATAGTTGCTACCTATCATCCCTTTATATGATCCATCATGAAAATTACCCATGACTAAACTTGCACTCAAAGTCCAATTTGTTGTTACCTCCATTTTATGTGACTATGTTGAATCCATGAACCATAACGAGACTCCATGAATAAAATCTTCACCAACCAAGAGGAAAACAAAACTATTAAAAAGAGGTTAAAGTGGAATACACAAAAGGGGAGAAGAGAAACCTACTACAAGGGAGAAGAGTTTTCTCTTAAAAACCTTACAAATTGACATAGCACTCATTTGCATTCTAATTCACAAATATTTACACCCTAATCTTAGTATAATATAATTAGGTAAAGAATAATTGGCCAATTAACTTTAAACTAAAGCAAAATATGTATGTTTTTCTCTTCTTCTTCTTGTCCTTTATACATTCAACCATTATTCTCCTTCTGTTAGGAAGATGCTTTACCTGAAATTTTGAAATTTTAAGGGGTTGATTCCTACAATTTTAGAAGGGGTAACAGAAAAGAAAAGATGTTACCAACTAAGAGTTTGCAATTTAGTCTAGTTTCACTTATTTTCCCCATAGGCCCTTATGTCTGTGTCTTGTTAGGAATTTTTGCCCTCTAAAGAGAGACTAAATTCAAATTTATTATTTAGTTGGCAATGTCTATGATTTTACCAAATTGCAACTTAGACACACAATCTACTTTTCATTTTATTTCTAATGACCAGTAATAAACTTGCTAAAGGTTATTTTCTGTACAGATTCTACCAAGTAGGTCTGTTTTCTTGATGATAATTGTTATGCCACAAAATGCATTGTGGTTTGGGACTCTAGCAATGTCTAGGTGCAACCAAACTAAATCTTGATGACACACACAACCTCCTGAATTTGCTATTTGGTAGGTGAGAGATGGTAGTTCAAGGTCTAATAGATCCTACAGAAGCACTTCTTTGTTATCTAATGAAAATAAAAATTGCATCCAAATCCTTAATCTGAAGATAAAATAAAAAACTTCTATTATTTTGAGATAAAAGGAGTTATTTTTATTAATTGAACTTTTAAAAAGTTAAGAGTGGAAATACCCCAAAATAATATCACTTTAATAAAGCAACACAAGAAACAATCTAAACAATTTCATTCCTTCTTTAGAAATATGTTATTTTAATATTTTTCACTTATTTATGTGTGTGTGAGTATATATATATACATATATATATATATGAAAAAGTGTTTCGTAAAAAGGATATCTTTGAAAACATCATATTTTAATTAATATTTTTTAAAAGTTAACTATTAGATTAAAAATTTTATTTATATAAAACACACATGTCAATTTTCAAATTAATCTAATAGAGTTAACCAGTTCATTTAATTACACAAAGTTTAATAATGTTAAATATATGTCAATAAATAGAGTTATAACTCTTTGATCAATTTGAAAACTAACATATAAAATCTACATGAATAGAATATTTAATCTAACGGATTAGTTTTTGAAAATATTAATTATAAAGAGAGTTTTTAGACAACTTTTCTTGAAAAACAATTGATTTGAGAAAATACAAATTGTACAATGAATTATTGTCTAATGTAAGTTATGTAAGTTATACAAGTATAATTTGATATTGATACACATTCATATATATAAGATATGAAAAACCATAAAGTGTGTTGACATTAAAAATGTCAAGACATTCACTAACAATAAAAAATGCTGAATAGGTTCTTAGATTTTGTCTATTGAGTGATTGAGATTAAATGCCTTGATTTTTAATTTTCTCATATATATACAAACTATATATGAAGGTTAAATCTATGGGTTAACTATACAGGTATAAATCCTTATACTTAACATTTAAGTCAATGCTTTGCATGTATGCATTTTCCATATACATATTTAACAATCTCTTTTCAAACGCAAGTAAGATATTTATCTAAACATATTAAGTACCCAATAATATCATGTACACCCTTACTCGATGCTCTTCCCTTGCAAAACTAGGCTTACAAGCAAAACATAAAAATAACTTAGTTTACCAAACAATACCAGATAAAAAAGGAGATCCTTTCGTCACGGAGCTTGAACCTCAATTTGCAAGTGGATGTTCCTTCATTTTTTGGCTTAGCCTGTTTTACATCAAATTACTTAATTTGCCCAAAGGCCACCACTAGCCCTCAAATTTCGGTAAAATCTTGCTTTTAACCCCTTGTTTCGGCAGTTTCGCAGTCCAACACTGTTGAAGTCCTTAGCTGCTTCTACACCTGAAAATCTCGAGGTTGTTTCCTCGGGGAAAACACTCCGACGCTCAAGTCAGCAATACTCAGTGTTCTAAAGAGAGATGCTCTCAAGGAGTAATTGCAAAGAGAGAAGCGTAGAGATTAATTATCTTCTTCGGAGGTGGTTGGGGGGTATTTATAACCCCAAGTGCTGACATGTATCTGCACATGTAAGCCTCTCATTGGCCCACGTGAGTATGTGTCCTCCTTTTGGGCCTGTGGGTGCGTAGTTGGGCCTGTTGCGTGTGGCCCTAAGAGGGCGTTGGGCCTAATCCCAACACCCCTCATTTTATATCATAACATTTTTAACTTCTTATCTTAATAGATTTGTAGATCTTAGCCCATTACCTTATATCATGGCACTTTTAACCCCTCACCTATTAAAATTGAAAAAAATAATTCTCACTTTATAACATTTTATTAGTTCTATTAACTGATTGTTCGTTGACTGTTAGCTGATAAAAATATTCTTTTATTTAACTAATAGAGTTAACAAAATTAATTTTATAATATTTCGTTAATTCTGTTAACTGACTATTAGTTAATTGTTAGTTGACAAAAATTTATTTTCAACTAACAAAGTTAAGAGTTAGTATCAAGTAAAGGTTATTTTTTTTAATTTTAATAAATATGAGATTAAAACTTGCAAATCTAGTAAGATAAGAAATTTAAAGTGTTATAATATAAAATAAAGAGTTAAAACGTTAAAACTTAATAAAGTAAGGAGGTCAAAATAAGTTCTTGCCTCAAATTTTAGCAACAGGTCCTCATCGGACTTCAAGGGGTGTAAACCCATTGAACAACTCATTTTTTTTTTAACAAGTATAAATTTTTTTAAAAAATGAGGGATTTAAATTCATATCATATTAGTAGAAATGTATTTTTAAAACTTTCTATTAATCAGTCTGTTTACGGAAGCCAGGTGCATCCGATAACTCCTCTAATTCCATCAAGATAGAAGAATTTAATTTGGTCCGTACATCTCTGATTATGAAATAAAAATCTATAAAAGAAGAAAAAAGCCCGATATTAGGGTTTTATTTCTTATTTAGAAGTTAATATTTTAAAATTTAAAACACTTAAAACGTTGAAAAAGTTACTCGTTTAATTTATAAGAGAAAAAGACCAAAATGAAGGAGAAAGTTTCCATATTTTCCCTTAGAAATCTCCAAAAGGTCACGTGATGTAATTGAGAAAGATGAGAAAGTTCAGTTGTTTCTTGAAATGCTAAATTCCTCGGGACTCTAAATTCCAAAATCTTAAATATAATAAGATTGGGGTCACTGGTTTCTCCTCGGGACTCCAAATTCCCTTTTGTGAAAAGGGCAAATCAGCCCCTGTACTAAAAACAGAGGCTTTTAAACCCTTGAACACTTTAATTGGTGGCAAATAACCCCTTTTGTGACAGATTTCGTGAAATTTAACAAAGAACTTGTTTCGGTTGGTCCATGGCTGATGCTCGCATGGCATTTGTCTCGGGTGGCAAAGACTTGGATTTTTTTAGTTGACATCGCCAAGAAAATGGGTCCTATAAATAATTTTCCTAATTTTAATGAATAAAAATAAAAGAGAAAGAAATCTCACTTTTAGCTTTATATATTTTCAAAATTAGCCTTTTCATCTTTTCTAATTTACGAAACATGGCAATGTTAGAAAATATGAAAATAAGGTGAAAGAATAAAATGAATATTACGAGGTGTGATCTCATTTTTTTTAAAGTTAAAATTTTTTTAATATATGACATAACTTAAAATTCTCTTAAAATTGAATATAAAATTTTGATTTTACATAAAAATTTATTTTGCTTAAAAAGTTATTATTTATTAAGATGTATCTCTCCAAAAAAATATCATTTCACAAAAGTATTTCTTTATTATTAAAAATTATGTCTGATTTTTAAACATATTTTTTAAATTTTAATTTAATAAAATAAATTAAAAAATCTGAAAATAATAAAAAAAGATAATGATGTTATAATAGTTAAGCTCCAAGATATCCCAAGTGTTTTAGGGTTCAAATACTTATTTTTTGATTATATATAAAAAAAATAACATCTAATTTATCTTAAGTTTCATTTTATTTAATTATTTATTAATAAAAAATAATTTTTTATAAATTCTTTTTTGGGTTTTCATTTTTTTTTAACATAAAATTTTAAATATTTACAAACTATTCAACGAAACAATGGAAAAACACAAAATCCCTTAAACCGAAACCCCCATGCTATATCGTCCCTTCTCAACCTCCATTTTCTCCACTAGTTCACCTATCCAGTTCTTCCACATCCCAAACAGCAAGCTAAAAGGCACATCCATCCAAATCAAGACAATAATTGAAAATAAGGTAAGGTCCTATGAATTTCTTCGCTAACGCCACCAAATCTGAGTAGACTTCTACAACGGCCTTGTTTCTCTCTATTGTACTTAATGTTGAAGACGCGAAGACGAATGTTCCTTTGAAGGCTTTCCTCATGAGTTTGAAAATAAAAAATAAAAAGGAGCGAAGAACTCGTCTTCTCCGATGGACAGCTTCTCCGATCTTCACTATCTTAAACGTGAATCATCAAAGAACATAACCTAGTGGGTTCCCCGACGCTTGATTTTCTTATGGATTTAGGACCCAGGTCATGTTTTATAGCGTCTGCTCTGATACAAAGAAAAAGGTGTAACTGGTGGGGATGAACAGACTTCTCTTTCTCAATTTTTCCTTTTTTTTTTTTCATTTTAAACTTCTTTTATTTCTTTATTTTTTTATTTAATATATTTCATTAATATCATTAATCCTATTAATTAAGTTTAAAACATGCCATGTAAGCGTTCGTGACTCCACCACAACAGGAAAATATTTTCCAACTCAACGCCAGATCACCTAGGGAACCCACCAAAAGCAGCCCTCCGTTTAAATTAACCAGATTGCTGATGTCAGTCGTCACAAAAAGGTCATTTGCCACCATTCGAAGAGTTAAAGGGTTTAAAAGCCTTCATTTTTAGTATAGGGGTTGATTTGACACCATTCAAAGAGTAGAGGGCCTGCTATGTTTTCGCCTTGCAAGGAAAATCTTGCACGTTACGCGTTACGTCCGGCTGTGGTTAAGGTGGCCTTGTTGGCAATAATATTGGTTTTATTTGATTTTATTGTTAAAAATAATTAGTAATAAATAAAATTATTAATTAAAAATTTAAATAATTTAGTTTTTTTTTTGTTAAAAATAAAAAATTTTGATTACAAATTATATAACATGTGAGTGAAATGTAATAAAAAATGAAAAATGATTGTTTTTCATTGTGTAATAAAAAAAATTATTAATATTTATTACTTAATAAATTAAAATTAAATTATAAAATTAATTTTTTTATATCTTATAATTATTTATTTAAAAAAATAATTTATAAATCTTATTCAAATTATATACAAATTTAATAATTTAAGCATTTTCATCGATGACGATGACCATATCCGTTACACCCATCACTGGCCGCCCCATCATGCAACTACCAATTTCCTCTTTTAAATAAAATGACTTTTATTCTTTTTAATAAAATTTATTGTAAGTAATTTATTAGTTTATATAAATATATTTATATTAATTTTTTATCAGTAACTAATTTTATATATATACTATTTATATTATTTTTATCAAATTTTAAATTAATTAAATATATTTGTTTATTATTAAAATAATATATAAATTAATATCTTTAAATAAATAATATAAAAATATAATTTTTTTATGGTTACTTATATCAAATCACTTTTTTTTATTTTGGATTAAATAATAAAAGATAACTATCTCTCATCTATTAACTCATCTTACTCACATGTCATGTAATTTTTTTTTTTTTGATAGAAAAAGGAGAATTATATTAAATATAAGGAGATTACAGATGAATCTCAGGGCATAATAGCCGAATTAAGGATAGAAGCATAACCTACAGCATTAGTAATAGATTTAAACTGTGCCCATGACATATATGGACAATTAAGCGAAGAGGGTCATCTATGACTAAAGATTGTAACTACAATCGCTGTAAGGGCAAAAATAGGGCTACAAAAGTAGAAAAAGGAGGTCGCTACGAGTGTCTGAAACTACTGGACGTCCTCACCTATTTAGCCAGCTTCATGGGGAGAGCAGGGAAAATTCGACATAAGCAGTCCCCAGCCCACTATATGTCGTCCCTAAAAACAGTTTCAATCAATAGGAGGGCCATGCACCTCCATACAAACCCAGGCACCTCCCTTGTCGCCATGGGCTCCCAACCATGCCCTAACTATTGCAATCCTTTGCAAACCCTTGTTGCCAAATTTCAATAAGGGAACTAGAGCCCCTTTTGAGACTGAAAAGGCAGTCTCCCTTGTAGCGACTTCACCAACCTCATCCTTTTCCTTTGGCTTACGACTGAAAAAACCAATTAGCCTCCAATGATTACCACTCTGATACCCTAGATCTAAGCAAAACAGAGGCATTGCAATATTAGAGCGTAGTGTTTCAGAGAGGAATATGACGCTTAGCATGTGCAGGAAAACAAACGCTTCTAGATCTGGAAAACACAAGGTCCACCCAAACCAGCCTCCTGCTGCACCCAGGCTAGTCTCCTGCTGCACCACGCCCCTGCCCTTGCTGCGCCCCTTTCCGTGCCCCAAGCCCTCTCCCTCGCCCTCACCCACGCCCGCACTCGTGCCTCGTGCCCATTCCCTGCACCAGCCTTGCTCTACACTTGGTCCCCTCACCTCCCGCAACACCACGCCCCTGCCCTTGCCGTGCCCCAAGCCCTCGCCCTCGCCCTCGCCCTCGCCTGCACTTGCACCTCGTGCCCGCCCTCTGCACCAGCCTTGCTCTGCACCAAATCCCCTCACCTCCTGCACCCCGATCTCTCCTCTGCGCCAAGATCCAATAAGGGGATAGGGAAATCGAGACAAAAATAAGAAGTAGAAGAAGAGGGGCCCTGAAAAAACCAGGGAGAATCACCTAGGTGAGAGGCTTGCACACCGCTGAGGGAAACCCTAGCGGCCGCGAGAGGTAAAATCCTTATCGTTTTAGTTCCACATGTCGTGTAATTTAAACTTAAAATATCTTATTTTTATTAGATGAAAATTACTATTAAACCATTTAAATTGTTAGATATATCAAATCATCTTTAAATTTGAAACATATGATCTACATGAATATAACAAATTCAACTCTTGATTTCATAGGATATAAATTGTACAAAAAAAAAAATTGTGAATATTAATTAGTACATCCTCCAGTTTAATATATTACACAATATATTTATAAAAAAATTTATTATTTTATAATATAAAATTAAAAACAAATAAACTTAAAAATGTAACTATACATATAATATATAAAAACTAATTGCATCGATTGTATTTATATTATATTTTAATATTTAAACAAGAAAAATATCAAAAAATATGTTAAACTAAAAGTATATTAATTATTTTTAAAAAATTATATATAATTAATATAAAAACTTATATAAGTTACACTAATCTAATTAGATCTTCACTATTTTCTAAGAATGTTTTTTCTTAGCTAGCTAAAATTATTATGTATTAAGAATTATTCATAAAGGAAAAAATGATTCCTTTACCCGGCTCTTAAATATTTTCAATGAATCCAACTGTTATGGTAAGGTTTCAACTTTCAAGACTTGCACCTTATACTGATTCTGAAAATTAAACATAAGGCTTGATCCAAAGACTTAAATTATAAATCTAATCTATAAAATAATATTTATTTAGAAATAAATTTAACTGTTAGGGTAAGGCCGTTTGATGTAAAATTTAAGGTGAAATGTTAATTTTAGTTCCTAAACTTTGGTTTTATATCTACAAACTTTTGGTCTTTAAACAATTTTGAGTGCGTTTTTCTTGTCTTTTAACTTTTCCAAGGGGCACAACATCAGTCCTTCTTTTAACAAAATCTGACGGGTTATCACGTTGACTTTGAAAAACTTTATCATTTTAATTCTGATGCGGTTGTACTTTTAATTTTTTTTTAAAAATATGTGGCAATAAAAGTAGGAGGCTCATTCAAATTGAACATTTTACCACCTCTCTTAATTAAAAAATATATTTTTAGGTTGAACTGCATTATAAAATTTAATTTGTTCTTTAAATTTATTAAAAGACTCTGAACGAAATTCTTTTATATGTTATTTCATTTATATTATTTTAGAATTTCAATATCTAGATTGTACTTTTATTATATAATTCAATTTAAAAAACATGAATCTCATTAAAATTCACATAATCTAATTTAATCAGAACAGAAAAGAGTGCAAATGTTAAAAGTTTAGTACTAAATTAATATTTAACCAAAATATAATATTTTGACTGAAATACCAAAATATCATATCCAAAAAAGTTTTATATTTTATAATCTAAATTGTATCAAATTATAAAATAAAAATTCTTGAATGATAAGTAAGATCATCTAAGGGTTTCTATTATACATTTCTGTATATTTCAAATTATACAACAACTTTTCATATGCAAAATAGTTATTTTATATTTAAGTTCTTTCATTCATATGAGATTTTCTTACTTCATATGAGAAATACATAGTTAT